AAAAGCCAGAGATTTTTATATGTCGGTCCTGAAAGCTGATATGTCATCATCATCGACATCTAAAGTACAGGAAGATCTGATGGAGCAACCTGTTGTGGATTTGCCTGGGGCCATGTCGTCATTATCTGTAGAAGATCCTCAGAAGGAGCAAAGGATGACCCGTGCTGCTTATAGGCGTAAAGAGAGACAGCAACAAAAACAAACAGTTTCTATAACTTTTCCACAACCTTCGGAGCCAGTGAGCGGGGCGAGGCCAAAGAGTGCAGCTGCCACAGACATGCAAGGAATGCTTAACAAGCTTTGTAAGCCAAAAGATGGATAAATGCTGGAAATGAGACTTTATAATGGAAATGGAACAACTTAGTTTATATGTTTGTAAAGAACTGTTTGTTCTTTTTCTTTTTTTCTTTTTTTTTTCTGAAAGAGGTAAAAAATTAAGATTGGGATTTTATTTTTATTTTTTTTTTCCAGCTGTGTAGCAGGAGGTATTGACTTAAGATTTTATTGAAAGTATAGATTGGAGAGGGAAGAAAGTGAAGGGAAAATTTAAGTGTAAAATGTAAGGGGAAAAAATATGTAAGCTTAAATGTTGAAGGTGGATAGATTATATTAGATGTATGGAGTGATTAAATGATATATAGCTTTTAAGTAGATGTATTGGTTTTTAATTAATTTTAATTAATTTTATTGCCTTATTTGAGTTAAAGTAGGTATATATTGTTAGTATTATATTTGTTTAGCTAAATTGTAAGTTAGATTTGGAATGATTTGTTTTAGTCCTGTATTTGATTCCGGGAAGCTCAGGGGGGGAAGGGGGTTAGAAGTATTAAAAAAAAATGATGTATTCATATGTTATAATTGTATTGACAAGAGGAAGCGCTCGGTTGGTATCCCGGCTTGCACTCGAGGAGGTGGTCAGGAAGAGTGGGGATGTAGAAAGGGGAAGGAGGAAGGAGGAGAGGTTGTGGGTTAGAGGTAGGAAGGAAAGGCAAGTGGATGAGGGCGGAGGCAGGTCGGGAACTGCTGAGCGTTTCTGATAATGTATTGAATTGGATTGTTTTTCTTTGTGTATGTTTGTGTTATAAATGCATCATATTACTTATTGTTTAATTATAAAAATTAATAAAATTTTCTTATAAATAATAATAATAATAATAACAACAATAGATCTTTATTTATTGTTATAATAGATCATTATTTGACCCTTTCTCCTACCTTTATTATTAAATAATTTTAAAATATGAATGACTGATTTCATTGACAATTTGCTAGGGCCCACTGACTCAGTAGACTGTTGAACTTAGTGATCTATAAATCAGTAGAATAAGTAGCGGCAGCACTAACAAAAAGATGGGACAAATTGAAGGATGTGGAATAGCAGGCAAACTGTACAAATGCAGGCAAATCTAATATATATATATAATGCATTGTTTTCAATGCAAAGAATAGATAAGCTAGAGTCTAGACCATAAAATGTCAGTGTGTAAGAATGTATGAACTGGAATAGCCATAGCAACAAACCAGCCAATGAGAACTGTTTTGATTAAGACACAGTATTAGCTGTGTGAAGCATGTGATCCAGACTAGGTCTGGGGGTATCTTAGTCTTTCCCTGTGTCCTGATCTCCTGAGTTAGTTGTTGATGTTCCCCAGAGCTGAATGAAACTGTATGTATCATGTTTATATATATTTTATAAAGTTTTTCTAAACTATGCCTCCTGCTCATTTTGAATGTGTGCTTATTTTGGGGGCTTATTTTTCCGCTGGAAAGCTGTAAAACTCTAATATAAAACATACTAAATATATACTGTATATTAAGCATTATACAGTATGTAGGCCAGAGAAGCATGACAACATACAATAAATTGCATATTAAGCAATATACAAGCAAGGGAAGCCACAATTCCACAGTCAGTCTATAACCAAAATTAAGTGGTGGTGGGGTTGTCAACAAAGGTTTTAAGTCCAGATATAAAGATTAAAGCATCAGGGGAAGCCACGTTGAAAGCTGTAGGACCCCTCAATCTTGCAATTGCTTCCAGAGGATCAGGAAAAGCTAAACATGACAAGGCGGCTAAGTAAATAGATTTTGCGTGGATGTTACTGCTCAGCTACACTGCAGGATCCAAAAGGTCAAAATTAAGATTATCATGGTGGCACTTGGCCTTATTCAGGACCCCATGCAGGGCTCTGCAGTCTATAGAGATATGAGAGAAAAAGATTCAAAACACACTTTCCCATAATTTCTGAAATCAGAGGATTTTGTTTCTTTAGACTATGATTTAGAACCAGCTGAAATCATAGCCTGTCTATTTCATTTCCCAACATTGTTATTCCTTATTTTTTATGTGAGCTTTACCTTGTGTAAGACCAGTCTGAAAAGCTGCTTTTGTAATACTCTGCCCTAGAGTTTGGTCTCATATAGTTCTGGAGCCTTGGATGATGGATGGGATGGTGGTGCTGAGTATCTAGCCAAGGCTGAGGTCCTACTTGGAAATCAGGATGGTATTCTTCATGCCTGAAATGTGGAGGTGGAGGGCCATGGTAGACTTCCCTCCGTGGGCTCCTTCCATATCCTTCAAACCAGGCTGCATGACTCCCTTGGCCCTGGGGCTGTCTTGGTGGCAACCATGAGTCCATTCAGGACTTTTTATTAAAGACCTGTTTTTATTTAGATTTTGTTCAATATCTAAATGTCTTCAGTTTCCTATAAATATAAAAACAACCAAAAGGCAGTAGGTTCAATGAAAAGAAACATTCTTCCAAATATTTATAGCCAAACTGTAAAGGCTTTTGCCTTCATGTTATAGGTCTAGAAAGGCTCCAGGGAAGACTATTCTTGTTATGGTCTAGAGGCATATCTATAACTTTTTTATAAATTAGGATTTTTAAAAAACCTTTTCCCCCTTTGGAAAAGAGAATATATGAGATTGTTAATGTTTATTCATTTCTTTGTAGTTTGATAGAAAATACATGAAGTTACTATTAAACAAACAAGTTTATGCCTTAGACACAGAATTCTTACAAGTTTTTAATACTGCAATTAGCTTTCACACTAATTGATATCTAACATTCGTAACTTTGATGCTAGATGAAAATAAAAAGTTATATTCAGGCCAATCAACATACATTATTTCAAAATTATACAACAAATCCTGCTTGGTTTACCAGAAAACAGTGGCTTAATAAATACTTTCATTATTTAGTAATAATGGATTATTTTCTGGCATACAATTTAATGTTTCTGCTATTATATCACTATTATTGAAAAGATGTCTGTAATAGTTCCCTAAAGGCTGAATAAACATGAGCTCTTTCTGGTCTCTTAAGTCCATTTTTAAAAGATTCATACAGATACACAGACCAACTTCTATCTATACATCAGTCAATCACATTACTAAACCAGCAGGGAGTGATATTGTACAAACATGTGACAACACATTTTATTGATTGCAACCCTCTCTTGCAACTTTAATATTTTTGTATGGTGAAACCTATTTCATTTACACACCAAAAGAGCAAGAAAAAATAATTCAGGTAAAATGAAAGATGCTACCGGATAACTCCAGGACAACTTGAGTGAACAATGCTATCTTATGTCTATACACCCACAACACTCCTACTTCCAAATGCACATACCTTTATTAGAAATATGACCACCAGCTCCAGTTCTTTCAGCTTAGCCGCAGTGGTGCTTGCCCGTCTCCAAGACAGCTGTCAAAGTCCATTTGCCACATGGATGGATACCTGACCAAGTTTCTACCCACCGTAGATGAGCACTTTCAGTTTTTTCCTGGTGTCAAAGTCCTAGACAATGCAATAATCCTGACTGAGCAGAGCAAAGGGCACCTTAAGCCTTTGTAAACAATACATTGGATCCTTCCAAACAAACTAAATATTTAGTGCATTTTGCATCACTTAAAATGCATGTAGACTAGAATGAAATTCATTTAAAAATATAATACAGGGGAAGTTGCTCAGCAAAGTTGGGTCACTTTTTCCCCCTTCCCCTCCCCCCCATCTTCAGGAACCTTTTCTACATGAGGGCCA